CCGTCGCCGTTTTCCGGCACCGGAGAAGGAAACAGAAGATCGGGAACGAATCGTCCGATGCGACCAACGAGGAAAGGATCGGCAGCATGGACCGGACCAAAGACTTGAATGACCGCAGCCCGTCTTCCCTTGACCGCTGCATGAGCGTGTGGGACCCGTCGAGCATCGGCCCAGATAGCAACGGGTCGTTCGACAGCGGGGCCCACCAGGGGGGCTCGAGGTACAACCTCGAGGAGGTCGAGTCGGCCACGCAGCATTTCTCGGAGGTGAATCTCATGGGGAAGAGCAAGTTCTGTGGGGTCTACAGGGGGATTCTGAAGGACGGGTCTGTTGTGGCGGTTAAGTGCATCGGTAAGACGACCTGTAAATCGGAGGAGGAAGAGTTCTTGAGAGGGCTAAGCCTGCTGAATTCGCTCAAGCATGAGAATCTTGTGGAGCTGAAAGGGTTCTGCCGGTCGACGGCCAGGGGGGAGTGCTTCCTGATTTACGATTTTGCCCCTGGGGGTACTCTGTCCAGGTATCTCGAAAGCGATGTTGTAGGTAGTAATACTGGCACTAGCACTGGCACTGTGCTTGATTGGAAGACCAGGGTCTCTATCATCCATGGCATTGCTAAAGGTTGGTGTTTATAGTTTTAATGCTGCGCACATATGTAATTTTGTAGTCTGCAAACTATTCTTTGCTAGTAGCGTGGCTTTCCAATTTTTGGTCTGAGGTGAATAAGTTCTGCAATGCTTCACTGGTTTGGGGTGCTATTTTGAGTCAATCTGGTGAATTCTAGAGGTATAATAACTATGTCGTCTCATTCGGAATCTCTTCCAAAACCTGGAGTTTTTGTCTGAGAAAATCATTGAGGCCCCAAGTAGAGGATATAATGTCTGCTGCCTGAAAATTGAATTGATGTACGCATAAAACAACTTGCTTCGCAATTACTGTAGTTCTCTACTAAATGCCTTCCACTGTCGCCATTGGTGCCTCATCTATGATCTGACGATCTGTTCGGCCCGATGAAGAAAACATGTGTTCAAGTAATAATTTGGTACTAGAGTAAGTTAATTCAGAAACAATGCACTTGTCATGTAATTTTTCGTGTTTCTATAAACAGGTGTACGGTACCTACACAGCAACGAGACGAACAAGCCCCCGATCATCCACCAAAACATCTCGGTCGAGAAAGTTCTGCTCGACCAGTATCTGAACCCCCTGATTCTGGATGCGGGCCTTCTCAGGCTTTTAGCGGACGATGTTGTATACTCGGCCCTCAAGGCCAGTGCAGCATTGGGCTACATGGCTCCCGAGTACGTCACCACAGGCCGGTTCACAGAAAAGAGCGACGTGTATGCATACGGGGTCATTATTTTCCAGTTATTGTGCGGCAAGACAAAGCTCCCGGGGTCCACTCGGGCTGCAGCTGAAGCTGGGAAATTCGAGGAGTTTATAGACCCAAAGCTCAAAGGCGATTTTTCGGAAACCCAGGCGAGACTGCTGACGAGGATAGCTTTGGACTGCACGAACGAGGATCCGGAGAGTAGGCCAAGCATGGCATCTGTCGTGCGGGAGCTGAAAAATGAAGTGAAGGGTGGCTAGATAAGGATTATATTGTAATTGTATAACCATTGAAGATCCATACAATCTTAACTTACAAGCTGACGTGAACAGAAAAAAAAAAACGTGAACTGTTCGCTGAGAAGTGTGGATTAGTGGTGTCTTGCCGGAGCCTGTAAATGAGTGAGAGGTCCAACGGTGGACAAATTTTATGAAGCTGGGAAAGAACATTTCATTGTTATTATTATGCCTATGGCTTTAGTATTTTTCAGGTCCACGTTTCAATAAATATTATTGTGTATTTAGTTAGATATAATTCAGGCTAGACATGTTCTTCAGACTGCCACCCAAAGATGAAATAAAGAAGGCATTTTCCGTCAACTTAGATCAGTTTTTTAGCATCCTCAGGAAAAAAACTATTAGTGCTGCATTATTTGGTGTTAATTTTCAAAAACACATAGAAAAGTCCACTTGGAAAGAAGATGCAACTGTTTTCATTCACATGCAACTGTATTAATTGTATGGTCAAAAGTGTAGAAAGTCTATTAATAACAACATCAAGTTCCTGTTTCTAGTCAGGAATTATGTTATCTTGTGGCGACTATGAAGAGTAATAGAATCGTACCTAAATTAAGCAGCTAAACCCACTAAGCAGGCCACCATTTGGGCCTAATGGCCTCTACTTCGCTATCCTCCTGACCTTTTATGATTAATGAGCCCGGCCCTATGAAAGATTTATCCGAGCGGAGAAGGCCCAAACCACGAGATCCTAATGGAGTTGTGGTTGTCCCTGCTTTCTTTTCGGAGGCCGTCTCGATCAATTCAGAACCAGGCCATCTTGACTTGAATAAGATTTTTTCCATTAAATATAAAGGTTCTCAAACAAGAAGGAAAAAATTACCCGGACAATAAAAATGTAAGCAAATAATGAAAAATAAATATATCCTGAAGCCTTCAGCTAGTAAGAAGCGATTGTGAGATGTTCGTATTGAAAGTCTAAAATGCAAAATTTGAGCACCAAAGGTTCTAACCTTTTGGGATCTCAGTTGAGCCTTCAACAACTCACTTATCTAATCTCCATAAAAGATAAATTTCCTTCATCTGTTTCTTTATCCACCTCGACGAGTGGAGCTGCACTAGACAGACTAAGGTATCAGATCATAACTGAAAATATATTGTAATTAAATGGGAACACTAAAGTTCAAATGCAAGAAAGAAACCATTCACACATCAACCATGTTACCAGACAGAAGTTATTAAAAAACATGTCTAATGTGTGCAGTTCTGAACCCTGGTATAGTGATGCATAGCGTTTAAATGCTTAATTTGCGGATAAACGAACAATTGAGGTCAGGCATAAGTAAGATGCTGACTAAACTTACGTGTAGCATTGCATGGAAAGATTCCCCTAAGTCCAAGACAAGACAACTGCTGATCCTTAAACCATTGGAAACCAACATGACTTCCTTGTGAAGATGATATATCTACGCGATAAACAGTGCCTCAATAGCCGATAAAATAAGCTTTTGAATCTTCCAAAGATGAAAACTTACTTTAAAGATTCCCACCAAACTGTTGCCAGCAAGAGAAATGTTCTCCCACATTCTCAATGTCAACCTTCGACCTCAAACGATATCTGTCAAGGCATGATTTAAAGCAACATATTTGGTATATCACGTATTTACAAAGGGAGAAAACAAATGTTTCCATCTAGTCTAGCTGAGTTGCTCTACATTTTTTCTGGAACATTACAAAAGAAATGGCAAAATGTTTCCTCTGCTCTACAAAATGAGGAATCAAAACAGTAATATTGTGTACATGCTGTGAACAATACAACTAGAGGACATCAATTATTTGACTCCTGTAGAACACAGAAACGAACCGAGCTATTGTGGTTTAAGAGGAGGCCCTCAGAATGGGATGCTCTTAGACAGTTAAGACTTGACAATGAGATTTAGGAGATCAATTTTAATCCAAAACCATTCACGAAACCCATGATTTAAATATATCTGCAAGATATGCAAGCAAGGTGAGCAGAGGAGGGGAAATTGTCATCTGTAGCTATCACTATAAGACAAACTCCAACGTTATATCATGGGTTTTTGCAACTATTCGTGTAGATTCCATAGCATGAAGCCATACGTATGTCTTATAAATGGTCATGCCAAAAGTCTTCCTTAAATTGTGACCACTAGAATCTGCACAGCACCAATCATCGTCGTGTTTTCATGCAACAATGCGATTTAGGATATCTTTAAGCATTCCCAATTCTTGCCAGGTCAGTTGCATTTTCCATTTCCCTTTTTTTTTCTTATCAAGAAATTGCCGCATGTCTCTGCCTCAAAATGAACTCATTTCCCCGGTTCTGTTAAGTTATCAGCTTACTACCACAAAATGACAACTTACCAGCAGTCCAGCAGCACACACAGTTCCAATAACCTTCAATTTTCAAGAACTCCAATTCATAAGAAGCAGCAGCAACAAAAGCAAAACACTGACCTTTCCAAAGTTGCCAAGAAGTCATCCATGACAGACCCATCAACATCAGTGAAAATCTTGAGCTCACCCGAGTCGGGATCGGGCCGGTCCCGGGTCCCAAATCCGTCCTGCCGAACTTGGGGGTTTTCTGGAGTCCGGACGCCGTTGGTCACCAGAACCTGGAGGAACTTAATGGTCTCGGGCTCCCTGAACCGGATAAGGGATCGGACTCTGAGAAGACACGCCAAGGGCCCGGCGGACAGGAAACGGTTCGAAAAGGAGAAGAGACACCGGCAGGATTGTAGTGCGTCGGAGGTGGGATTTCACGCCGTACATGTCTTGGAGTTCTTCGCAGAGCAGGGTTATGGTTGTGGTGCGTCGTTTGGTGCACGAGCAGAAAATGGGAAAGAAAGGACAAGAGAACACACGTGTGTTCGCTGAAATGTCTAAAAGAAATTTAAATAATAAGTATCAAGAAATACGAACGACGCCTAACTAGACATGACCACGACCCGGCCGATCGAATCGGATGGGAACCGGTGTGGACAATGGATCTTGAATCGAGCCCGTAGTTTGATCGTGTTGGTTTCGGGCCACCTATTAATAAACTTTTGAAGTGTTGGGCTAGTTGAGGCCTTCAGGGTTGACCCGGAATTAGCCTGGGAGACGACCTGCCATATTTCTATTTTTTTATTATTTTTTTTATATTTAAAATTTGGTTGACCCACACTGGTGGATAACCTTTAGGTAGTATTTGGTTGGAGGGTTTTGGAAAGAAGGGAGGGAAGGGGAGGGAAAATTTTATAATTCACTTGTTTGATTCAATGTTTCGTTCAATTTTTCAAAACGGAGGAGAAGGAAAATTTTGGGTAAAAATCCCTCCAAATAGTGAATATGACTCCCCTCCAAAATTGGGAGGATTTGGAGGGGAAGGAAAATGCAAAATGGTGAAATTACTTTTTTCATCCATAATATTAAGATTATTTTATTGTTTTATCTCTTATATCATTAAGGTCAAAAGAGTCAATCCAATATTACTTTTCCTTCTCTTTCATTTTTTAACCAAACAAGGTTTATCATTTTCCTTCACCTCCCCTCCTACAAAATCTCTCAAACAAGGTAAAATTATTTTACACCTCCTCCCCTCCCCTTCCCTCCCTTCCATTAAAATCACTTCACACCCTTTCCCTCCATTGAACCAAAAATACCGTTAGCGGCCTGATGGTCAGATTGAATCTGGGTCGTTGGATCTTTTTCCCTGTTGGAGATCCAACGGCCAGATTTTATTTTAGTTAAAGAAAATTTCGGGTACGGTTCTGATCTCGGATCTAAAGCGGCCCGCCTAGAATCGCCAATGGTCATATTTTAGACTATGTTTGGTAGACAAATAAGCTAGCTTATAGCTTATTTGGTTAGCTTTTAAGCTCCTTGTATTCAAATAAGCTCGAGTCTATTTGATAAGCTTTCTTAGGTAGCTTTTCAAATAAGCTAGTTGAATTTTTTTACTTCAACTAGCTTATCAGCTAATTTTACCAAACAATTTTATCATATAAGCTAGCTTATCAGCTATAAGTCATAAGTTATAAGCTATAAGCTAAAAAATTACTGATAAGCTATAAGCTAGTTTATCAGCTATCAGCTAGCTTATCAGCTAGTTTTACCAAACATAGCCTTAATGTGACTGTTGGATCATCTTGACTGTAGTCAAGATTCAACCGCCCAGTCTCAACCGTCGGGCCGACCCAAAACCAACGGTTCTATTGTCCCCTCCCCCCAAATTAGATTTTTCACATCATTTACAACATTCTTTCATTCTTCTCTATTCATTTCTTTTTTTTTTTCTTTCCACAGGTTAGATATCAAGTAAAGAAAATACATAATTACATACTAGAAAATAACCAAAAGCTGAATAAATGATCAGCAACTCAGCTAAATCTAGTTGAAAGAACTACCCTCATAAACTAATATTCGAGGCAGCCTAGAACCAACCTAAAACAGAACGACTCTAAAAAACAAAAGTTCCCAATATGAAAAGAAAACAACTCACAGCAGGAGAATACAACAACTTCCAAAAGGACAATCAAACACAGAAAAAAAACACACAACTAAACAAAGAAAACAATAGATACACTAGCAAAATAAATAAATAAAAAATACCTAACACAAAAACAACTGAGCCCTCACCATCAGACATGAACACCCAACGTCCACAAAACCCAAACTAACATCCAAACGCTAACAACCGAGCAGAAGTCACGAGAAACGCAATCTAAACACAGCGGATCCAGAAACTCCCATAACGGGCTAACTAGAACAGAACCGCAGATCCGCCAACCACCCTCGGCCTTACTATATATGCGAAATAATTTTGCATATCATGAATTTTGCGGCATATTTGGATGTTCGATTAACAAATATGCGAATGTGTTTCACATATAATTATTAACTATACGCCTAATTTGGATATGTATTGGTAGGGACTCGTTGAAATAAAAATTATGTTTGGTGTGAGAATGGCCGTGAGAACCATATTTGATGCTATTTTTAATTTTGTGTGATGCTATTTTTAATATTGCATGTGCAATCGTTTTCACAAATGCTAATAAAAAGTTTGTTGTTGTTTTTATTAAAATACATCTTGTTTAAAAATAGCACTAAAACACAACAAATTATAGCACTGCATACAATTAAAAATAGCGGTTCTCACAGTTCTCACGTTAGGATTTGGTTCTCATTTGAACCACATCTTGTGTTGGTATTGGTTCTCAACACAAGATGTGGTTCAAATGAGAATCAAGTCCTAACGTGAGAACTGTGAGAATCGCATCATGTGTTGGTGTGTATATATATATATATATATATATAATCTCGTTTAGTTGTTAATTATCCAGTTCGTTTGGATATGCGACTTTTATCTCGTATATAATTTCGTGAGCTGTGGGGTGAAAAAAAATATTTTGATGGGACAATGTGTAAGAGAAAGTGCATGTATATATTGAGGTGTAAAATTGTCCCAAGAGAAATTGTCTTTAGTTTTATTATGGAGAAAATATTTATTTACACCATGTTCTGAAGATCGAATAAGTTTTTCACGCTGTTGGATTACAAGATAACTTTTTCACCTCAGAAAGTGTGAAATGAATTATGCGACAATTGTGCGAAAGACATTGTGCTAAAATTAAGAATGCGAAGTCACCCGCATAACCTTCACGCTTTCTAAGTTGAACATTCGAAAGTTAAGCGACTAAATTCCGACAATAATGCAACTGATATATGCTATAGTTATGCGAAACGTTGGCATAACCTTCGCATATTTTAGGATGAAAAAAGTTATATTGTTAACAACTTAATTATATTTTCAGGTTATGGGCTGTAGGCAAATAAATTTTGAGCCAATAAAAGGCGACAAGTGTCAAATTCCATGTCAAAATCAATTTAATAATTTTCTATTTTATTTGGGAAATTAATCAAATTTTGATTCCTAAATTAAATAGTTCATTAATTGATTATTTAATATATATTATTAGTTAATTAAAGAATGGCACATGTATATTTTGAAAGTCAATTAAAGAATGCCACATGTCATTTTCTTGGAGAGTAAAATAAATAATTATTTCTTTTAATAATTATTAAAGAGATAAATAAGTGGAAATTCATGGACCAATCAAATTGAAGTCTTCTTTTCCAAAGACTATCTCTCCCAATTATCTCTTTAAATAATTATTAATTAAGAGATAAATATTGAAAATTATGGACCAATCAAATTGAAGTCTTCTTTTTCAAGATTCTCTCTCCCAACACCTATAAATAGGGCTCTCCCTAAGGTGAAAAAAACAGAATTTATGTTCAAGTCCACAATTCATATTCAAGTTTTCAAGTTCAAGAGCTCTAGGGAATTCTCTCAACGAGATTCAAGTGTTCTTGACGATTCAAAGGCGTTCTTGAAGATCCGAAGGGAGATTCAAGCGCGTTCAAGCCCAAGACTGACGTTCAATCCGGAATCAAACTGTCAAGCCTCCGAATTGCGTTATTAAAGTCAAAGTGTTTTGAAGATTCAAAAGGCCTTCTTGAAGATTCGAAGGAAGATTCAAGTGCGTTCAAGCTCAAAACTAACGTTCAATCCAGAATCAAGCTGCCAAGCATCCGAATTACGTTATTCAAATCAAGACCGGCGTAGAGAAGATCAAAATCAACTTTGCGGCGAAGACCAAAGACATGTGTTCTTCACGTTCTTGGGAAATCACGACGTTCGATTCGAGATCAAGCTATCAAGCCCTCGAAGAAACGTTATTTAAATCCATATTCAAGACCGGCGGAGATCAAACTGAAGATTCGTCTCCAAAAGTCTCAAATCCATTTGAAGATCGTTCTTGAAGAAATTAATCAGAAGAATAATAGATATTTGTAATCCACTATATTTCTTTTGATCTGTTGAAAATCATTTGTACAAAGTTTTCGTGTTTGTTAATTCAATAATACAAAATTTTACGTTACAGGTATAAAAGAAATTGTCCGTTTTGGTGTATCCATCATTTTATTATCACTGCATATACTATTTGTATCATCCTACCAATACCATATAAAAGTTTATTAGTTTTTTTACGTCTAACATGACTGGATGATTGTAACATGCATAAAGATTTATGTTACTAAATCCTTTACAATTACAAAGAAATAAATTAGTGGCCGTACATTGGGAATCAGGTGGTGCATTGCCAAACTCTTGACCTAATTTTCCATCTGATATTTATTCGAAAAGTCAACGCCGTTGCTGTAATGCCTTCGGCATGATATTTAGTACGAATGGACATCATGCCAACGTAAGGATGTCGGAATATTTAAATTAGGAAATATTTACGAGCATTTTTTTTCGTTGGATACTTGGATTACATTAGGTTGTTTTGAATTATTAATAAAAAATCTGGTGAGGACTTTAGGCACAAATTTTCCTTTTACATTAGTTTTTTTGTGTAATATTTTAAGAAAGTAAAATTCTAGATTTATACAACAATTAGTGTTGTTAAATTAAACGAGCCTGGCTTGGCTCGGCTTGTTTATCGAACGAAACGAGCTCAAGCTCATTTAAAGCTAATTTTGTTAACGAGTCGAGTCGGCTCAGCTCAGCTCGATAAAGCTCGAAAAGAAAATTTTTATATAATTTTTTATAGATCGGCTCGATAAAGCTTGAGATCGGCTCGAATTCAACTCGTTATAAGTGTTAAACGAGCCAAGCTCGAGCTCGATTTCAGGCTCGCTTATTTAACGAGCTCGACTCGTTAAGGGCTCGAGCTCGGCTCATCAACTCGTTTACAACCCTAGCAACAATTAGACTCGAATTGTCCTTTATAGTTTATACAGATTATACACTTTTTGTAAAGTACGTTGTCTAAGTTTGGCTAATGCCATTTGCGGTGACAACAAAGTTTTACCTAAGACGTCTAAAAAAATCAACTATGTTCAAAAAATTGAAATTAGTATTACTTCCCGCACATTAGAAGCATTATTAATTCCTTTCTCATAAGTTAGGATACGTATAAGGTATTGTTTGTGAGAATTAAAATCATTGGATCTAAAATTAGATGTCACATATATATTTGAAAGCTGATAATTAGTTGGTTAATTATATGCTATAAATAATAAAATTATATGATGTTAAAAGTATATTTGATGATTAGTACTGTCTTCTGACGAGCTTTTTTTTTAATTTTTTTTAATAATTTGTTTTAAATTAGTTCTCTTGAATTTCATTTCTAGTCTGCCCCAACTTACCTGGGACAAAAAAAACGTTGTTGTTGTTGTTTAATAATTTGTTTTAAATGATTTTATTCATGAATCAATACAATTAGAGAGCGTATTTTAATTATCAATTCACCATAAATAATTAACAAATAAAAAGAATAGAAAAATAAAGATGGGTCCGTTGTGGTAAATTGACTAGGATAAACTAATAATTCTAATACGTACAGTTCCATGTACGTGTCACAGCTTTTGGTATTTAATTAATTATTTATTTATTTGGACCATTTCAAAAACAGCGCATGCAATTATTTATTTTACCATTGGCTGTGCAATCCCATTATGGTCTCTAAGGTCTAATCACTAATTATTATCGCTAATGACAAATAGTAATCCATCCACGTCATCAAATTTTTCAATGAAAAATGCTACAATCCCATTACGGAACCATTCCGTTAGGATTTGTAACCGTTAGATGCACATGATAACTAATATAAATGTGCATCTAACGAGTAGAAATCACAACAAAATGGTTCAGTAACAGAACTGTAGTCTTACTCTATTTCAATATATGAATGATTGTATAAATTTTTTTTTTTTTTATCATTTTACAATTCTTTATAATCAAATTATTTATTAATTTATGATCCAGAAAGAAAAATAGAACATTGATTCAAGACTCCACGCGTGATTTGATTAAATTCCTCAGTACCATCTCAAACAAAATCCTCAAATGGCAATATCTTCCTTTTTCGAATTTAATATTAAAATAAACAGATAAATATAAAAAAAAAAGAAAAAAAAATATTGACCAATCAGCGTCGCCATAAAGAATTCAGTTGTCCGAGTTCATAAAAATTAAAATTCCATACAAATCCCCTCATTGGATTTTCATCTTGGATTTGTAATTGTGGTCAACGTTTTTGACATTGACATTTTTTTGTCCAAAAAATTGTCTTTGCACTCTCATTTTATAAGCCCTATCTGGAAACAAACCTTTCTTGCACCATAATCAACTCCATCTTTATAAGAGGCTAAGAAAAGCACAATTTGAACTGTAAGAAAAAGACAGACACAAACAAAAGAAAGGAAAAACAAAAAAAAAAAAATAAGTGTAAGAGTAACATAAGAACCAACCCCAATTACCTGAAAACCAGAATCAAGAAGAAGAAAGAAGGACCAACAATTAAAAGAGATGAAGCTTGTTTGGTCTCCAGAGACGGCCACAAAAGCTTTTATCGACACCGTTAAATCGGTAAGCATTCAAAAGTCATCGTTTATTCGAAATCCTGAACTCATACATTTGTAACAAAAAATTTGCTTGCTCTTACATGGCAGTGCAAACTTTACAAGGAATCAGGAGTAGCCGAGCTCATCTCAGCCATGGCCGCCGGGTGGAATGCTCAGTTGATCGTCGAGACATGGTCCCGAGGCGGGCCCATCGCCACCAGCATCGGGCTCGCGGTTGCTGCCGCCCACTCGGGTGGCAGGCACGTCTGCATAGTCCCCGACGAGGCATCCAAATCGGAATACGTAGAGTCCATGAGATGGCATGGCCAGCCAGCCTGCGACATTGTGGTGGGCCTCACAGAGAGGGCTGTGGAGGAATTTGAAGGGGTTGACTTCCTGGTAGCAAACTGCGCACGGGATGACCTCCCGGGAATGCTGAGAGCGGCTAAGTTGGGGGAGAGGGGGGCCGTGATCGTGTGCAAGAACGCCAGCTTGCGGGCCACCTCGGATTCCAAGTGGTGGGGGGTGATTGGTGGGGAGTCGAGGAGGATTGTGAGGTCGGTTTTCTTGCCGGTCGGGAAAGGTTTAGTTATCTCGCATGTTGGGGCCACGGGTCGTGGAGGCAGCAGTGGTTCGGGTGAGGGGAAGGGAAAGAGAAGGTGGATCAAACATGTTGACCGGAGGTCGGGGGAGGAGTTTGTATTCAGGAAATGAATGAGATGTAGGATCAATGTTCTTATTTATTTATTTATTTTAATTTTTTCTTTTTGGTGGGGGGTTTCCTTTTTGGTTTCTGATGTATTTATCATAGTTTTGGAAGGGCAGGAGGTGGATATAGACATATAGTTTAAACTAAGAAAAACTGCAATATTCAAAAGTTGAATCTTGAAAATGATGAATTTGGAGAAGATGATGAATGAAAATGAAGTTGACATAGGATAATTTCTTTGAGGTACAATAAGTTAGAAGGGAGAGACAAACCTGTATTCATGTCATTGAGATCGTTCTCTCCGTTCTCTGCAACATTTTAGACAAACTGAGGATTAAAATTGTCCAACATAAATATTTTGTTTAATCTTCCCATCTTATTTTTTTGGATAAACATAATAGTTAATACACCCATGGTAGTCTTCTTGCACAACCATAACCGAGGCACGAACGCTTACAGGCCGTTACAAGTGCAATGACTCAGAGCTACAAGCACCTGAATTCAATAATGCAAAAGGAAGAAACAACCATCATGTGCAGCAGAAATAAGACAACTAGGATTTGCTAGGTGAGAATAGCTAGTGCACTCCGGAATCCAAATAAAGAATAATATTGTTGGAAACATATGTTCTATTTCTATAAAAGAAGAAGGCCCAAATCTTCAGAGACCTACCAAAATGTAGTCTCTGGCCACATAAATATCGGCTCCGGTCTAATAAGTTGGATATCGTATGCTTCCAACAAATGATAAAATGGTTCTTCTTTCTGAAGCGGCAACTCATCGCTGGATGTAAGTGCTGGCAATGGTAGTTTGATTCACTCTGGGAAGAACTGTTGCATGCAACTGTAGCTGTAATCATATAGCTCAACCTTGGAAAAGCAAATCGTACTACAGCCGGTGATATTATATGCCCAAGCATCAGTCCCAGCTGTCTCGGCTTCTTCTTTGTGCTTTCTTTTGTGACAGGGCTTTTTTCTTATCCAGCTGTTTCTGCTCCCCAGCAGCAGACCTTTGGTAGCGAAAGGAAAGCGGTTAATACTGTGCTTTAATCCACCTTACTGAGTATGCAAGAGATTTTAGTGGAGGTTAGAAAGCTGCATTTTACCTGAGTTCTTACAATTTGGCAATTTTTTCTACGTCTATGACATTCATCATATTTTCATGCATTATTAGTGATATATTGAGATATTTAGCCGTGTTTATCGTGGGATTGTGCACCATTTTGTTTTATTTAGTAATATCAGGTACATTTGTCGATGGTTTTGCAGGAAATATGCCCGGAATAGCTTTGAAAATGGAATCGAGACGAAAAACGGCGAAAACGAGGTGCAGATGAAGACACACGACTCGTGTGGCAGGGAAAAAACAAGAATTTTGCTACGGCTTTTTCACAAGACTCGTACTGCACGTGACACTGTTGAAAAAAGGAACAAGCAAGGTCATGAAGCTTAAACAACAAGAAAATCGATTTTTTACTGCAATACCTTTCTCTGCTCATACAATGCATAGCTTTTATAAGAAAGCATGGAATTCTCTAGAACCCTAGGCTACCAAAATCAGATATTTTTTGATCCTTATCCAAACTCCTAGGATGGTGAGTTGTTATCCAATCATTGGCTGACATCATGCATGCATCATGCATGACATGAAGGGAATCTTTTCCTTGCTCATTGTACCTGCTTGTCCTTGTGCATGGTGGTGCACCATTGTGCATGGCCTCCTTATCATGTGCTGATTTATTTGTTTGAATACTTCCAACACTCTTCCTCAATTCGATTGCTCTCTTAGAAACCACTTTTAATTTATTTCTGAGGAGCAAGAAGAATTGCCCTGTAAGAGGCTTAGTGAAACAGTCTGAAACTTGATCAACACCTGGCACATGTTGGACTGCAAGCTGCTTGCTAATGACTTTTCTCTAACAAAGTGTAAATCAAGTTCTATGTGTTTGGTTCTTGAATGTGAAACTGGATTTGCTGCAAGAGAAACAGCTCCTTAGTTATCCACCCAAATGACTGGAACTCTCATGGATTTGAATCTTAATTCTTCAAGCAAAGACTGAATCCAAGTCACTTCACAAGCTGCATTGGCAAGACTTCTATATTCTGTCTCTGTGCTTGATCTTGAAACAGTAGGCTGTTTTTTTGAACTCATGAAATAAGATTATTCCCAAGGAAAACACAATAACCACTCACAGATTTCCTATCATCTAAGTCACTTGCCCAATCAGCATCTGCAAAGGCATTTATGTGAAGTTGGCTGTCTTTGGTGAAGTGCAGACCATAATCCTTTGTCCCTGATAGATATCTTAGAATTCTCTTGGCTGCTTTCCAATGCATATTTAAAGGATTCTGCATGAACTGGCTAATCTTGTTAACTGCATAACAAATATCAATATCAGGTCTTGTTATAGTGGCATATTGAAGAGCACCTACAATACTCCTGTACAACTTTCCATTTTCAAAGGGTTGTCCTTTGTGTTTGGACAATTGAGGGTCTGCCACCATTGGATTGCTGAGGCCCTTGCTTCTGACATTTTGACCCTTTTCAGGATCTCCTCAATGTATGATTCTTGACTGAGGAACAACCCTTCTGTGGTTTGATCAACCTGAATTCCAAGAAAGAAATTCAAGTCTCCAAGGTCCTTTAAAGAGAAATGAGTGTGCAACTTATTGATAATGCTTTGAATTTCTGTGATGTTGGAGCCTGTTATAAGGATGTCATCCACATATGTGAGAATAAAAATAGTAGAGGTATGATCATGCTTGAAATAGAGAGAAGGATCTGCTCTAGAAGTACAGAAACCAAGCTGATTTAAAGTGGTGCCAAGTTTTGAAGACTAAGCTCTTGAGGCTTGTTTCAGCCATAGAGAGATTTATTAAGCTTACATACCAGTCCTCTCCCTTGATCAAAACCAGGAGCAAAACCAGGAGGAGGTTGTTCCATATAGAGATCACTGTCAATATCACCATTGAGAAAGGCATTATCCACATCAAGTTGTCTGATATGCCAATTAAGAGAAAGAGCAATACTGATGATGATTCTAATTGTAGTAGGTTTCACTACTGGACTAAATGTGTCTGTGTAGTCAAATCCAGCTATTTGAGTGTAGCCCTTGGCAACCAAACGAGCCTTATGCTTGGCCACAGAACCATCAGCATGCCTTTTGAGTTTACAGACCCATCTACAACCAATAACAGATTGGTGAGGAGGTAAGGGAGTGAGAGTCCATGTCTTGTTCTTCAGTAATGCATCATACTCTCTTATCATAGCTTGTTTCCACATAGGATCAGCTAAAGCTTGGTCATGATGAACTGGTGAAGTTTGAGAAAGAAGCACCTTAGGTTTGTATATGCCAGCTTTTGCTCTTGTGACCATAGGATGTGATGGTGCTGTCTGAGGAGGAGCAGCATCTTTTAGAGGAGACCTGTCAACAGAAGAAGCACTAGAAGCACTAGAACTAACGGCGACAATAGTTCTTCTTTATTTTTTCTTTTTCTTCTTCATTGAACTCATGGATTTATTTATTTTGAGTATTGAGAATATGTTTAGTAGCTAAACTTTTTTGAGATTCTAGGATTTGTGAGTACTCGGATTATTTTGTGAAGTGATTTTATTTATTCATTTCGGTCTATCATTCGTTTATTGATTTCTTGTGTTTATATTAATTATGTAAATTATAGGGCCCGTATTTGTGCATATTTGTGATTGACTTGAGACCGAAAGGAGATAGTTGATTGCTAGAATTGAGAAATTTATAACGTAAGAGACTAAACAGACCTAGAGGTTGATAGAATCTTGCGAAGGAACTAGAATCTTAGGAACTTATGGGAGTTAGTTATTCATCTTGAGACCGAGAGGAGATAGATAACAACTCATATCTACGATTTAACTTGTTCGAGAGAAAGGTGTAAATTAGCGATTATCCCTACGATTGATAGAATTAAATAAGGTTTGAATGAATAAGAAATCTTTGCTAGGATCATCCCGAGGAAAACTTCGCCTAGATATTTTCTCAATCTTGATTTATTTACAATAAGTCTTCATTAGTTGTTAGCTCTAGTTTATCGTTTTTCCATTAGTTTAGAATAAAAGTTCCAATCAAATTTGCGTTAGTTTAAATAATATTTCATCGTCTACATTTTGGTATTTAATTATTTTAACAACAATCTCTGTGAGATACGACCTTGCTTGCCGCTTACTATAGTTACACCGTACACTTGCGGGTAGTGAAAATATTTTGTGAACAGTCTCTGCTGAAGGAGGTGGCGGGACTTATGAGGCAGCACCAATAATTTACACCACCACGTATGATCTAGTTGGCATAGCTATAATGAGGTAAAAGGGCCATTGCTCTAGCCATGGAGAAACTCAGGCAGGCGCGGTCTTTGAGTTTCTTTACATATAAATACATTTCTTGTTAAAGTAAGTACATACCTGTATTTTTGCCAAAGCATCTTCAGTGTTACCCCTATAACAATGCCATATAAACAACTGCTACAGGAACAACAGAATAGGAAAAAGTAAAAGGTTGCATTTGGATGGAAGGGTTTGGAATTTCAGGAGAGGATTGGGAAGAATAATTATAATTCCGTGAATAATAGATTTTACATCCACCCAATGACTACTAAAATAGTTCAAAATGGGTTAAAATCCAATGCATTCAAACACACTCAATAAATTTGTAATGGCATACTTGAAAAAAATTCGATATACATTTCCAAGCACATCCTCACACCCAAATGGAGCCTAAGGAGTAAAGTTAACAAGAAAGCCTTACTTCTGAGTTCTTGTCTTTGTTGAAGAAATCACAAGCTCTCCATCCCTATTGATCCGATTCTACTCCTGTCAAAGAAGAAAAAATTTGAGAAAAGAAAGATCAAATATCTCTCTATAAGAATTATTTTGCCAAGCTCAGTTTCGAACCGTCCAACGTCCATACTAAAGCAAATAGATACAATCTGTTCACATTTACTTAGCATAACCAAATACTTTTATCTAATATATTTATTATCAACACCTAAAAAATGAAGGAAGATCATATCTATACTTTCTATGTTTTTTTATTTATTTAGTTCTTCACTGTAAGGAGACTGCAGTCACTAATTTCTCAAAGTTCTGTGAATGAAAGAAAAAAGCAGACAACATTCATTCATGTAACAGTTGGTAGCAAATCAAGAAAACATAAAATATCCACATAGAGAGACGAAGCATAAGAAAACAACTCACCATTTGCATTATCTTCTCCCTCACCCTTTCACTCAACCAACGTGCATTTTTAACATTAAACCGCATGTCAACCTTGGTGTTTACTGCAGATACAAAAATCTAATTAGTGCTTTAAACACCAAAAAGGATGGCAACTGGAACAATTATCAATTAAAGATGAAATGAGAACCCCAAACAAATGCTCACCAGTCCTAGCATAGCTTACAGTTACATGATCTGCACACGGATATAGAAGCTGAAGAATGTCCACCAGGCCATCTGTACAAGGTAAATCCAGAAACAAATGCTTGTTGATGATTGTTCCAAACCAAAAACATGAGCATGTTTGTATACTTCTCTGTCAGTAGCCACCAGGCAACGAAAGGGCTGATAACACGACATTCATAAACAATTGCAGATGAGATGAAATATTATCTTACAGGCAACTTCAAACACCTAGAGCTAATAAAAGTGCATAGCTTTAAATAGTTAACTACCGGATGAGACTTCCGAAACATGGTTATTATACGGAATTAGTGAACGAAGCTGTGAAAAAATCCTTGACAAGGAAGATGGAGTTTATATCAACCTTGTTTACGCATTAAATTTAGCAACCTCCATTAGACTCCTTCACTACCACATCAGCTAACAACGCTGAATCCACCATCACTTGTTTCATCAATCACCGCAGTCCAACCAAGATGGCTTTTTTCAAAACCCTTTTGCAACCATTCAACTAAATGAAATTCATAAACAATACAATCATCACCACAATCAATTACCAAAAAAAGGGGCATACTGTTCGATTTCACACAGATGAAGAGACTGCTACACCGTACCTAGCTTTATTTGAGGGATGGGCACCGCGCCACCTCCAGCAGCTTTATACCGCTCCTCGGCCTCGTGCAAAAGCCGCTGGACCTCTGCCAGCCGCGCCGGAGGCTTCTTCTCTTCGGCGCCAGACTTCGTTGAGGAGCACCTTACAGCATAAAATCCGGCAGGGGCTCGTAAGCAAAGCCTTTTATAGACAGTAACCGGCCAAATCGGGCGAAAAGAAGCCTGTGGAAGAAGCCTGGGATGGAAAATTGATCGCGCAGCCATAACCGCATTGGCTGTGGCTCAGATTGCCGCCATTACTGTAAATTATCGAGCTCTGCTGTAGTGCTGTGTCAAGTATTCAAGTTTCTGTTTTTTGCTTGTAGTGCTACAGATTGTGCAACGGCGTCACTGTATCATTACAGAAATGCGGGTTTAAAAGTTGTCAGATAATAGACGCCATAAAACCAGAAGCAGTGTTCGTAAGGCGCCGCTAGACCAGCACCTATAGCCTAGAATTGGGTTTATAAAACAATATTAAATACCTTATTTTTTATTATTTTAACTATCTACAAAATAATAATTAATATATTTTAAAGAAAACAATATAGATAGTATTTAAAAAAAACTGAAAAATTGTCGTCCAACCCGCCTAGAAGCGCCTAGGTCCGCCTATACTCGCCTGGCCACCGAACCCGCCTCAGAGCGCATAGACCGCCTGACCGCCTGACCGATTTTTTATACCGATTTGTGCAAATTGGAGTCGCCCAGAAACCGCCAAGCGTCTAGGTGGCCGCCTAGGCGAATTTTTAGAACAGTGCATAAAACACATATGTATAAGATCGCGAAAGTTACATCTCATATCATGTTTAAGGAAAATGCTACATTCCGGTTACGGAATCATTCCGTCGGAATCTGTAACCGTTAGATCATCATGTAACCGTCATGGATAATTGATCTTACGGTTATAAACTCCGACAGAATCGTTCCGTTTAGAACCGTAGAATCTCCCATGTTTAAATAAATAGAGTATATTTTTAAGAATAAAAATTACTTTCCAAAGCCCTCTTTTATTATTTTCTTGTACATTTTCAATTTTTGAAAAGACATTAGTATATATCTATATCTATAAATAAATAAATAAATAAAAGATAAAACAACATGTTAATGGTTATACGGACTTATATAATTCCTCAGACAACATTCCATATATCTTAATTGATCTCTCAAAAAGTATCACACCAGTGAAACCCAGTTATTTCAGATATGCTTAAATATTAACCCAAGTTTATTACAACATTTTCATAGCATTCACAACCACAGTCATTTGCGAGTCAGAAAGCTTGTGACTATACAATACACCAGCAGAAGAGAACTTTGCTGGCAAACTCGTATACATTAGCTGCCAACAATATTAAAACACGAGAAATGCTTGCGACGTAAAGAATTTGATATATTGTGACATAAGTGAGGTCGGAAAGTAGTAGTCATTACTTGTATTAATGATTCCATGATTCTGATAATCACGAAAGCAGCAACAATACGCACATGCTTGTGTGCACAAACCCAACTGTCCCTGCTTTTGATTCCATTATACTGTTCATCACAAAATCAGCAACAATATGAAGGTACTGGTGACCGACCGACATTCAACACAAAATCTGGCTAAATCATCACAAAGGGTGACCATACTGGCCTTGTATTGTATGATAACTGAACACAGAATACCCTGAGAAATACCCTCAGCTTCATAATACAGATTTTAGCATCAGTCGTCAGAAATGCAGATACATTCCACTCGAATAAGTGTCTGAGTCCAGATCAGAAGACTTGGAAAATTTTCTCCCAAAAGTTTTAACGTCTATTATAGGCCTGTTTACTTGGACAAAATGCTCTTGCAGAATGATGTGGCGCGGCTGCCATGCTTCCAATATCTGGTCTCGAGCTTCCTTGATTGCTTGAACTATAAGTTGAAGGAAGAGCCCATCCATCTCTGCCAAGCCTGTTACTGCTTCCAAACCCTGAAATTTTTTTTGTACAGAATTGATGTGTCAGCGTGCAAGTGGTTTGAGTCCAGATATCAAGAGTCTAGTTCCTTGCTTGCAAAATGACTCCATTCACAGTTTTAACTACAGGGGTGGCCAAAAGAAACCGGTTTTTCCCACTTGACCAATGTGGCCATGCCACCGACAAAGGTTGTTCAGATCAGTTCTCTTCATTTTTTATACCATTCCCAGTACAGAACCATTAAAACCAATGTTGGTATCAGTTATATAATTTCATCCCGAAAGCGAACCGTTTGTCTCGGTTTAATTGCATGGATACAATATATTGAGCATACATAACAATACTATAGTTTATATGTTACACAAAAGGACTGAAGGACAGAAAACCTTAATTGCCAGAAGCCGAAGGCTAAAATAGAAGGCCTACAAGCCCAATAAACCAAAAGGTCCAAAATTATAACCCCAACTTTTATTACACTCAAGTGTTGATTTTTTTTTTTTTTTTAAATGTTTGAGCTGAAAACTAATGCAATACATCGTTTAACTTGTAGTTTGCATGGTTTTTTTATGTTTGAGCTGAAAATTAATCCAATTCCCATCTTTTAACTTGTAGTTTGCAATTTGCATAATAATATCCACTGTCCATCGGTGAAAAGTTAAAATAGAAAAAAAATTTAAATATTTATGTACCAAATTGTCTTTGTCCCAGTTCCGGACGAGTACAAGTCTATCAGGGGAAGTGACCAATCCCATACTAGGTATTAGGTAATACAATCTGATAGGAACCCGAAGAGGCAAAATCCTGGAGAGTGCCCAATCTATCATCAAGATTCAAGAGGAATCCAAATTTTAAGTGACAATTAAAAACACTACCGCTTAATTTAGCAAATTTAATCCATCCAAATTACAAATACACCAAGGCTGCAAACTGTTAGAAGGCTATTCATAACATGAAAAATATTACTTTTTCTTAATTGATAATTACTCCTCTGGTATAGTTTTCCATAATCAATACAGAAACTATATTTATATCATCAGATGAAGCAAACAAGCTTCTCACACACAATATCTTGGGTAAGAATATGGAAAAGCCAATCAAGCAGTCAAAATATCTGATTAATCGCAGGTCATCTAAGCAATGCAGCCAGAATTATCAATGGATTTCAATTTCAATTGCCTAAAAAAAGTGCAAGCAAATTAAATGATCAACATACCTGTACCATGTTGATTACTGAATCTTTCACCAAGCCCAGGAAGATATCTCCTGGCATTTCCCTTCCATGCTTCCTCAAAACCGCCAAGTTCATCTAAGCAACATAGACATATAAGTATTCATCACATTGAGAACCAACTAGTATAAGGCCATAAACATCACATAAAACTATCAGGATACCTTCATTAAGATTATGCAGAGTCTGCATCGTGTCAACATGCCCATCTGAGTTCAACTTACGAATTAAGGAATGACCCTAGAACATGATTACATTCACGTTAGACATTCAAGATGCCAGTCAAGATTGATGTTCCTGATAGGACGATATAGAATAATACCTTGTCATGGATACCCCTCGAGACCCTATGAGTTGCTTGGCGAGTAGACGAATCAGATTCTTTGCATTCTTCAAATGTTAACTAGATTGTAAAAGCAATATAAGTGTGTCACACAACCATCCAAGCACAGAACCTGTACATGAAAATGAACTAATTGAAAAAATGAAATTGCACTTACTCCATCACTCCCTGATCTCCTTGTTCTAGAAGAAGTGTAGTACGCACCATTTGCACCACCATAAGAAACAGTGGTACTTTGATAAGAGAAGCTATGATTTTGAGGCTGTGACCGTGCACTTTGCATCTGGTAGATCTCATTTTGGCGAGCTATATGCTTGCTCTTTTTCTCTACACAAACAAAGTGGTATACTTTAAGCCCGGTCAATGGAAACAGTATAATCTAACAAATGACCTACATATGATATTTCTGTATGCATAAAATAAACGACACAAACCAGTTCCTTCATCATCAGGGTTCTCCATAAAAGACTCTTTACCAGATCTTCCATGTTTCCTAGGATTCTCCTTTTTATCCTTTCCACTTTCTTTTTCATCAACCTCATCATCAGAATTCAGCTCCTCAATCACTGGTCCCCTAGATGTATGTGGCTGGGTAGGCTGATGTTCAAGATATCCATAAGAAAGTGGATTCATAAATGGACCTCCATTAGACCCAAAGAAGCTTGACTCAAACATGCTTCCAAAGGGACGCGTGAAAAACGGGTCATCGAATGGATCCCTTCCCCCAAAAAAGCTAGAGATTAGACTTCTTTGGCCTCCAAAATTACCAAAAGGATCACCAAAACCAAAGAATGGATCTCTGCCCCCCTGCATTTGGGATGTGCAGCTCCCTGGATAATCAAATGCAAGTAAAGAAAGAGAATCAGCCCGTGCTCAAATCCCTTTTTAAATCCAACCAGAAAAAGGTTTGCTCCATAAAATTCGAAACAGAAAATCCCGTAGTAACTCTACTCTTTCTGCTTTCTCAACAAAAGTTCCACAATCATACATGTCGGATACGAAATCATACTGCTGCGTGAATACACATATATTGACAACATTCACAGAAATTAAACTTGCAGGGCAAACAATCTAATCTTAGACATAAAAGTCTGAAGAGTTTTGCAGAGCAACAACCACCTATTTAATAAATCTTTCGCAATGGACTTAAGAGTTCAGACAAGATTCCTTCAATCAAGTAATATAGTTCCACAGCCCCACACAACTCAACTGGAATACATATGACAATGGTTCCTATGCATCCAAACCTACACAGTTACCTTTACCTCAAGAATATAACAAAAGATGTGCATACAACCGTGTGCGTTCCTACAAAGACGGGTTATCATGATAGGTACAAATTTTCCTCCGGGTCTATCCAAATTACGGCCAAGATCTCACACCCGTTCACAAAAAATACAGCCGCCCCTTTGACAAACAGATGATCGTTTATAAACATTTCATTAATCAATGATTCTTGGTACACCCGTCATAGAAGAACAACGAGAAACAGCTGAATCAAAATTCTTAGCGCCAAGCCGACCCAACTTAAAGGTAAAATGCTAAAAGTTACAAGCAAAATGAAAAGATGAATCCCGATGAACCGCTAAACTAGAAATGGCAGCTCAGACATGGCTACTAGCTTTTGTAACTACAATGATTTCTACAAAGAGGATTCACTGAAACACAACTGTCCCTACTTGAGCTGCACAACCGACGCATGATTTATTGCTAGGAACGTCCACATAAAACCCCTACCAACAGTAAACTCAATATCTCCCAATTACCCTAAAACGCTATCTACTAGTAAAATGAAGAAACCAAAACGAATTATCAATAGCCAAGCAACAAGACTAATACAGCTAAAAGAGGGGGAAGTTTAACATCCATTAAAGCTCGAGCACAGATACTTACAAACACATATATACAATCAAACGTTCAGTGTGTGCGCGGAACTTACGAGATGAAAAAAATTAGGAAAGTCTGGATTTCTCACGAGATGGAGTGAAGAATGAAGGAGAATATGAGCTCTGATCACACAATCTTCAAGCTTTGAGAATGGACAAGGGAAAACGTGGAGACGGCGAAGGGTTTGGAAGGTTCTGGAAACGGGCCACTGAGGTTCACCAAAAATTTTGGGCCGACTCTATATGGACTTGCAATCTCAAATAACTGTACTTGTACATGGGCTTAGTTTCAGACTTTCAGGTAGATTATGATATTTTTTTTTTTTTCAAAGGTAGATTATGATATGAATAAGGTAAATTTGATACTATAATTTTTTGACATAATAAATGACACCAGCACAATCCTCGTATATTACACGGGTGTTTGTTAAAAAAAATTATCTTAAATTTTAAAATTAATGAGAACAAATATTTAAATTTTATTTTAAATTATTTTATTAATTGATAAATAATTTTATTCTTTTAATTATTATTAAAAAAATATTTTGTTATAAAGATAAATATAATTTAGTTTTGTACATACAATATGGATGTTAAATCGAAGCTCGCCAATAGATGGTTAATTTGATATATTATATATATAAAACTGATAAAAAATACAAAAGTATTTAACTTTTGAAATATATTTACAAAAATGATATTAAAATGCAATTAATATATGTAACATGACCATAAATAATCAACATATTTATAGATAATCCGAACCTAATTATTTTTTGTTTGGAAGTAAATTAAAATCCACCCAAGCCTAACGAAGCATATAATTTTGTCATATAAGATCTCAAAGCATGAGAGTCTGCCACTTAGGCTCAGCACGTTCTGAATTAATATATAGCCGGATAAGTGATAATATCTAAATGTATAAATTGTTGATTTTAAAATTGAAGTAATGCATAAGAGTAAAACCATATGATCTTG